CTACTGTTTTTAAATAGTTAGACATTGTAAATTTCATGTGCAATGACTGCCTTATTATTTGAAAATTGATATTTTTGCGATTGATTATAGCATTGTTGTGAAATGTTTAATTGCGAATTGACATCTCATAAATTGTGAAAATTCCGTATTCTTGAAATTCTATAAGAGTTTTTCTATACATATTAAATTGGCAATTCTGCTAGAATGTATTTACGAACTGCTACTTTTTTAAATTTGAGCAAAAAATATTTGATTGGTTATTTTTGAAATGTTATTGAAAGTGACAGTTACTAGAGGTTTCAGTGAAATTCATATTAATGATTTCAGTGATATGTTGAGTACATGATATTGCTGCTTTCGAATGTTTAAAGAGATTTAGAAATACTTTAAGTATGCAAGTGGACTCATCCAGTTCACCAGTGAAGTATAAGTGGACCTATCCGAGACGTCGGTAGGGATTAAGTGGACTCATCCGGTATGCCGGTAAGGTATAAGTGGACATGCAGGGATTAAGTGGACCTATCTAAGACACCGATAGGGATTAAGTGGACCATCAGGATGCTGATGGTGTATATAGGTGACCTACTTGGGACGCCAGTAGGGTAATTTTGTGGAATCTTTTGAATTATGCACTGTCGTTAAAATGTTATATGCATTTCAATCATTTGGATTATGTTTAATTGTGCATTTCTACAAGTGAAATTGTTATCTATAAATGCTTGTGCTCGCATTGTTTTTAATTGACCTCCATTTGAAAGTTTGTTTATATCTTTCATCGATGATTATTTTTAGGATTATGATGATCACTTACTGCGTAGCCAAACTCATCAAACTATGATAAACATTTTTCAGGATGATTGCGGTTTCATTTTGAATGCTCGTCAAGATCAACCTTGAAAGATATTGTAGTTGTGCTTAAACTTTCTTTTGTTACCTTGTAATAGTTCGCCACTGTAAATTTGTCATATCAAGAAATATACATATGTTTTGACTGTTATATCTCAAGAATATTAATATTGTAAATTCTTGGGGTGTGACGCTGTCACACCTTTTTCTTAAGAAGTTAGTGTTTAATACATCTTCTTACTGCTTTGATAAATTGAGTCAAGAGTAATTAGAAACTTGTATCTCACCAACTACAAGGAATTAGCACCTCCAAGACTTTTTCAAAGGGCAGTTTGTATAGTAAATACATATTTTCTTTAAACTCCTCTTACAAGGGAATCTGCTCCCAGCTCTCTATCTTTAATGCTAAGTAAACTTCTATATATAAAAAAGAGAATCTGCTCCCAACTTTGACTCTCACTAAGACTTTTGGCGCACCTTTGAAGGTGCAATTTGTTTCAATTTTGAGATCCCTTAAGATGAATGTAGAGGCAGCTATTATGCAATTATTCTTTGTCCGACATTTGGTGGTTTATATTTGTTCTAGGTAAACTCTACCTCGTAGATGCAGGCTATCTCAATATTCGTATATTCATGATATCGTACCGCACAACTCGTTACTATCTTCAGGATTATCGAGGTGGTAATTATTCGAGGACAAGTGATGAACTATATCGACACTCATCACTGTCGAATGTTGTTGAGTGCACATTTGGTCTATGAAAACCACGGTTTCCAATTTTACAAACGCAATTTCACTATCTATTTCAAACTCAAGTCGATATCGTCATTGCAATTCGTATATTACACAACTATATCAGGGTGACAAGAGCTGTTGTCACTGATGAGGAGTCGATGTTTGACAATGCTGCATTAGAACATGCTGATCAAATGGTACAAGAGACCATAACTTATCATTAGAGTGGGGATGGCATTGCTAGGGGATGACATTGCTACAGAGTTACGTGACGAAAATGTGAATCCAATGTGGGAATGATATCCCAATAGGGTTTAGGATGTAGTAGTTGTGATAGTATTACATTTCTTCATTTTCCTTTATGAATGGGTTACCAAATATAAGAAACTACGTACACATGAATCCCAGACATGTGAACCAAGCATTGGGGAAAATAGGTTTGAAAAACTCTTGCACAGTAAACTGTTTACATATGAAAGTTGTTTTACATATGTAAACTGTTACACATGAACCAAACGAGCCCATAAGAGGTCATTTGGATCCCTGGAAAAATATTTTTGGGTAATATATGTCTATGGAGATCACACATTTCCGACTTTTGGATCTAGATTTCGGGGCCAAATAATACTTTTGCCGAAATAGGGGTCGGAAGGGGAAGGGGATGGGTTGGGTTGGGTTTGGGTCAACCCCGACCTGACCCGACCGGACTAGGTCTAAGTTTGATTCAGTCCCAACGTTTGGGTCTATGTTAATTGGACCTGACCCAATGGGTCGGTCAAGTTCGAGTCAGGTTTGGCTCTATGTATAAAACACATGTAATAATTATTTGTATATGTTATATCTCAAATAATATATGCCACATACTAATATATTCGGTCGGGTTAGCCTTGATTCGACCCCCTAGGCTGGCGGGTCGACCCGACCTGTCACGCACTCATTTGTCATAAATTATTTTCCCCATTTAAAGTAAACAAAATAAAGAAGTATGTATCCTGCTCCCCCAAATCTCCATCTCTCTCTATCTCTCATCATGCACGGACGCTCTTCCTTTTCCTTCTATTCATAATCTCTCTCCCCCACCTAAAAACTATTTTTCTATACCTCTTTCTATCTCTCTCAAAACAAAAGCTAGGGTTTTCAATCTTTGCAGTTAAACACCATTACGGTTTTGGAAGACCACAACAGAAGTTTAACAGAGAGCCAACAAGGTATGAATTATAAAACATATATTTCTGTTTTAAAGCCTTATGGTTTGAAAAAAAAACTAGGTTTCAGATTGAGTTCCTTTTTGAGGCTCCATTTTTAATGAGATTTTCATTCACATAACCATCAATTTCTAAGTTCATTTAACAATATTCGCTCAAAGAAACCTGTAACCATGCTCTCCCGATGTCTTTCACTACCCTGTCTTGCCATTTTGAAGCCCTAGAGCCTGCGAAGGTGGTGACTTTGGGTAATAGAGAAAACCAGTTCTCTCTCATGAATTTTTTATGTTCAGAAAAGTGGGTCTTTAACTACTAGAGAAAGGGAAGCAACACAGTGAGGTCATGTCTTCACTGCAAATTCTCAGATTTTACAGAGGGCTTTAGCCACGGCTGCATTTTTTTCATTCAGTCTGGCTCAAATCCAGGTTCCCAGTTAACCCTTTTTACTGTTGAAATTTTTTAGTATTGTGAAATTGGACTACTAATCGCCCAGTAAAACAGAAGGGGCTTCTTTTTGTACAACAATTTAGAGAAATTTTGTGCTGGTTCTGTTTGGAATTTGCTTATTTTGTTTGATTCATGGAGGTTAGTGCTCTGTTTCACCCGAATTTAGGACTTCGGGTGTTCTGGATAAGTGCTGAGCCTAGAGTTCCCATTAGATAACGTCTACTCTATATTTTCTTGCATTGAGAAAATTCAGTCCTTAGCATGGAAGGAATTGCAATAAGAACAAAACAACCAAAAGAAATGAACCACAGAAAGAAAAAATGACAAATGTTGTGATAAAGTGTGAAAATTTACCCTATTAAATAATTTTGAGGATAATTAGAAATACAACCAATGCAAGGAATTTGACTGAGAAACGCCTATTAAGAAATGTATTTCACAGGAAATAAATTTTTTTCAGACTATTTTTCCAGGGATCAAATGACCCCTAAAAAGTGGTTTTTTGATGAGAGGGAATATGGTGATTTGGCAGCCATCTGTTTTTATGTGTGTTAGATCCACGGTCTGTATGTGTAATGCTTTGCTTACAGGAAATACCTAAGGATATGCCAAGTTCTTTAATTATTCCCTGAAAACTGTATTGCATAGTATTGTTCCCAAAAAAAGCCACGGCAATGGTCTTAGAGTCCTTCATGGTTTTCTTCCCCACAATCTTTACGCCTCTTCATTTGGAGAGGTCTATTTCTTCTGTAGTTCTTTATTCCGTTATTTTGTGATTATCTACGAAAATAAATGGTTAGCCTTAGAGACCTCCAAAATACCGTTGCAAGCAAGGTTAAAGGCTGGGCACCTTATGTCGAGCTGCCTGGTCTTCCGTTAATTCTCGCACTAACATTTGATATTATTCTAGCACTTCTATATTTAGAAATTTTACATTGCATTTATATAGATACATGTATCGTTATAACTCGTAGCTTATCAATACAACTAGCAAAAAATTACATTAGGTCTTTGATTTATACCAATGTTTAAAAAGTCAGACGAATGGGTCAGACTGGGTTACCTACCGAGTCCGAGTTTGCCGGTCCGACTCAGGCGAGTTGGCCAAAGCTTCCTTTAAGGAAAAAACAGAGTCCATTTGCCCTCCCTTTCCTTTTTTCCCAATTTTACCTCTTACTCTCTCTGTGGTTGATTTTGCTCTCCAGCGGTGATCCTTTCTTCCTCCTTTACACCTCTCTCTTCCTCTCTTATTGATCTGCCCTTTCTTTGGAGAATCTCTTTCTTCCCCCTTTTACACCTCCCTCACAGATCAATTTGCAGGTTTGAGTGCTCTCTCTTTCTCTCATATATATTGAAAAAGATATGTTATTATAGGTTAACACCGTGCAAGTTTCCCTATCGCTCATTTTTGGTGTCAGGTGTATTATTTTAGGGCCAAATTTTTGCACACATCTTCTTGACCCTAGTGAATGGCCCTATGAAAAAAATTTGAAAAAGAAGACATCCTGAAAAATAGTTTTTGAAGATAGGTTATATGATGCTTTATCAGATGTCTTCTTTGATGCATGATAGATCTACGGTTAGATGTGCTCAAAATGGCCCTAAGAATACACCAAGCACTTTTTTTTTGGTTGGTTGTTTTTTTTTGTGTGTGTGGGGGGTGGGGGGGGGGGGGGGTGGGGGGATATGCTTGTACCGTGTTAGCCTATAGGCGAAGGCAAGATACACACACATGGGAGACATTGATTTTTCATTCAAACAGACCCCAAGTCTTCTTGTTATTTGACTTTAATGTTCTTGTTGTCTTTATTTTATTTTTTTATCTCTTAATGATAAGTAGCTTTTCTGCAAAGTTCATTTATTCTCTCTTTTCTTTTTTTGCTCTTTGATAATTCTTTTGTATTAGGTTTTATGGTATTTGTGCCCATTAATTGTATGTTTGATTGCTCCTATTAAACTGTTTCACTGTTTCTCTGCCATTGTCTTGTTCATCTACTATTTGATATAAGCATTGGTTTATATTTGGGAGCTTGATGGTTTATATTTTGCGAGCATGATTGATTCTGTTGGATTACCCATGTAAATGACTAATACCCATTTGATATTTTGTTAGAACATTTTTCCAGTTGTTCGCTACTTTTAAATTGGATTTTCACTGAATTATTGTATATGCACTTAAAACCTTGTTATTTGCTGAAGTACAATCCTATATGTTTTATGGATATGGAATATCTGCATTCCTTGTGAAATTGTATCATGAACACTTGATATATTTTCAAATTTATTGGATACTTTGACCTGTGGAATTTGGCATATTTAGTGCTTCTTGTTAAAATGCTAAAACTTATAATACGTACCTAGTGAATGAACCCAGAAATTTAATATGGCATGACTACATGTTTGTTTTGCCTGAAAATATCTCCCGGGAAATATTTTCACTGAAAGAACGCTCTCATATGGTTAGGTATTGGAATATTTTCACACCAATTGGTCACAGTGCATCTTTTCGCACCAGTTGGCATCTAATCAATGTGAAAATATTCCCAAACCTAACCACATGAGCCAATTTTTTCACATGAAAATATTGTCGTAAAGAATCATAGTTAATTGCAAACAATGGCAGTTTCAGATTGGGGCCATCCTTAATTGATGACTCTTCTGGATTATTGTTGGTGACTGTTTTGGTTGCTATGGGTTGTTTTGGTTTTTCGATATTTGTTACTGACTAGTGAGATACATCAATTACATATTGCTTTTTTCAGAGCATTTAATATTTTCTTGTCTTGGAAATTTTTGGAAATTTCTTTTCTTTTTTTATTTTTATTATGTGCAGTAAATATAAAGTCTTAGATTTGTCCATTCTTAAACATCTTAAAGGCCTGAGTCCTCCGGCTCTTATCCCTTAATTGATTAGTAGTTCAAGAAAGTTAATTCTATTTCTCAGAAAATTTAGGGCTTTTGCGGGTGATTAATGTGCCTCTTAGTGAATATCTTTGTATTGTTTGAACCTTAAAACTTGATCTGATACAAAAGACTATTGGGTTATTTGCCCCCATCTTATTTGAGGAAGTTTCCTTTTCTTTTTTTACTGCTCTGTCGTGACATAAGTCTAGAGTTTTCATATCCATTTCCTTTGCATTGGTCTCTATTTTGCAGGTAGGTGGGAGCTTGATTCGAACTCTAGCCTTAAACTTTGAAACAAAGATCTCCATACTCTAGCCCTCAACGCACAGCAGGATATAAACTGCGGGTTTAGTCTCTATCCAGGAAAACACAGAGAGGGGGAGAGGAAGGGAGGGAGAGTGAGAGAGCCTTTAGTGAATGCAACAGCCGCAAAAACATAAAGAAAAAATGGCACCGAGCCCTTCTGGTTTACCTGGTCTACCAAGACCAGGACCCCGTTCCAACATGCTTGCCCATGATGATAAGAAGGTCTATGAAATGATTGAGAAAAGTGGGAACAAAGGCATTTGGTCAGCGGAAATGAAAAAGTATATACCTGAAAACATACTCAACAAATCTCTCAAACTCCTCCTATCCAAGAACCTCATAAAGCTTGTCGCCAATGTGCACAACCCTAGAAGAAAGGTGTACATGTTAGCAAATCTCCAACCATCAGAGGAAATTAGCGGTGGAACTTGGTACTCAGGAAAGGAATTTGATACCGAGCTTATCGATGTTCTGAAACAGCACACTTTAAGGTTCATCACCAAGATGAAGGTGGTTATTCTCGACAAGATTGCTGATTCCATTAAAACATCAGAAATTCTGAAGGTTGAAGTTAGAATCCAAGAAGTTAAGCAGGTGGTTGATTCGTTGATTTTGGATAGAGAGATTGAGGCAGTGTTGAGCAATGGGAGTGCAGAGTTTCTGTCTATTCCAAAGGGGAAGGTTTGTTATAGGTGTCGTAAAATGGGACATCTGGAACCTGCGTCTTTTGTTTCAGTGCCTTGTGGGGTTTGTCCTGTAATAAACGAATGCACACCTGATGGCGTGATTTCACCCAAGACTTGTGAATACTATCAAAGGTGGCTGGATTTCTAGGGAGAAGTTGGTTCCATCTTAGTAGAATGAAGTAAGTGAGTATTAATGCTTGAAAGATAACTTCTTTATGGGTGGTAAAGTCTCATTTTATTATTGTTTTTCCATTATTTGGATTGTTGATTCTTCTTGAGCAAAGTTTTGATTTATATATTTTGAAAAATTATCCTCTGCTTTTTGGCCTTCAGATACCTATTTATTTGATTCTCTTTTAGTTTCTGAGCCGGAGGAATGTAAAGCTTTGATAATGCAATGGTTATGTATGCACTTTTGATTAATGAATTGTTTAATTGTGTATAATTGGAACATCTGCTTCTTGAAGTATATTTATGTCATTGCGTGAGTACTCGTTGCTTTGCATGTTATGGTGTTGGTATTAGCCTTTAACATGCATGTAAAACAACATGCATGTTCATGATCTCGTATCTGTTGAACTTAAGGTCAGAACTGCACTAAATATATTTTACTTGGGTCCGGTGTTGGTATTAGCCTTTAACATGCATGAAAAAGAACATGCATGTTCATGATCTCTTATCTGTTGAACTTAAGGTCTGAACTGTGCTAAATATATTTTAATTGGGTCCTACAATTAGCATCTTTAGGTTTCGTCTCATATTGAAGAAAAAAATAACATGTTAAGAAGTGATTGTTTCAATGCCCTTTTTTTTCCCGGACTTGCAACTGCATTTTCAGATTTTGATTCTAGTTAATGAAATTATCCATTCGTCAAAAGGTTTTCACATATCGCTTCTAGAAATTTGGCTATTCGCTGGCAATACGGGTAACATTTTAATCATGCACAAGAATGGTCTAAAAATTCACGAGTGCTTTAAAGTTTCATAATGGTTGTATCTGGGATGTACTAATTTATGGGTAGCTGGAGTCACTTTTTGTATACTAGTTCATGCCTTGTATTTCCAATGATGACATCAAAGAAGACGCTAGGTATTATGAAATGCATTAGCTGGTGCATTTTTGGTCAGCAGCCAGTTAGAAAATGCATAACCATGGATGTCAGGTGCATCGACATATGTTTCATGCACCATTGAGGTTTGTGTTATTTTATGCTCATGCTTGATGTCTTTTTTTGGAGTTAACGACTTAAAGGACTCCCAAGTTAAAATCATAAAAGAGCTTCCACGTTCAGGAGTAATGAATGTCCAAGAACAGCAGCCTATGTTCCTTATGGTCAAGTTTTAGTTTGGTACAACACAACAATCTCCCACTAACTGCATTGATCATCTATAGATGCTAAAATGAGTCCCATTATTGTCCATTCGTACAATGCGCATAATTTGGTAAGCGCTCATTTGGCACCACTAGGATATACGGGGAGGCCAAATACCCATCTATGATTTGTCCCTTCTTTCCATGGCCAAGATCACAAAATCACATGTCCAATCTATCCAACTCTACTAACTGATTAAAGAAAATTAAAAAATTCTATTTATCTGTACTAAATCTCCCCTCATCTATGGCAGCCTCTTGGACTGACCGTCACATGACATTCATAGCATTGAGAGATTTTGTTTGTACTGTGCTCTTTTTTTCTTGCTATTGAAACTTAAACTTAGCCTCCCAATTTTGACTCCGTAACTATCTCTCTGTAGGATGCATTTCCAATATTCAACTAATGCTGTCCATCGTGAAGTCTCATGATTCAGCCTATTTTGATTTATATAAAGAAAGAAGCGAGTAACCACAAATGGACATGTAAAGAGTAATTCTCCGCTCTTCTTTCTCAACTAACCAAAAAGAAAAGACAAAACTGCTGCAAATATAATATACTAATAAGATATTATGCAAAACAAATCATGTGATTTAATGAAATAACTGCTCTTTTAGAAATAAAGAAAGAGAAGATCACTGAAAGTAAGAACCCTTTTAAAGCAAGATGTGCTGCTGCTGATATGTATGGCTTTCTGTTTCGCAATATTTATCTCCTAGTCTAGCATAATGTGGTGACTGATAAACTGATTATACAAATAGGAATAACCATGGTGGAAACTACTTGGGTAAGTTGTAAACCAATTTTCAGTCAAGTCCTCTCAAATGTTTACTAGGAGAGACACCTAAAGAGCTGTATGGCTTCTCTCAGATTTTCTTGTGTACCTTAGAATTTTCATTCTCTATTTTTCTTATTCACTCTTTGAGACGTGGGAAAGATACTCACCAAGAATTTATCATCTGATGGTATTTTAACAACTATAAACAGAGATGGTTGTCATGCTAAATGGGTATCTGGCAATGTGCATTTCTGAATTTTGGGTTTTAATTTGTCATTCCCCTGTCATGTTTATGATTTGTGGTTAAGTTGCATACTTAATTTCCACCCACTGACCCACCTAAACAATCATATTTCTTTAAGTGAAACCTCATCCTTTTGAAAATTAATGTTTATCATTAATTGAACACTGCATAGTAAAAGTGCGCTTCATGTGGAATGATGTTGTATGTTCATTCAGGAGCATACTGTAGCACATGGCCTAGTTAGTCTTGGTCCAATTTGGTTGCTGACTTGGGGAATTGTATATTGTGCTTGCTGGTGAGCATGCTATACATTCCCTTGAGTTTTTTTTCAGTATTACTCAATTCATGAAAAACCAAAAAAATAAAAATAAAAAAATACCGAAGTCTTAAGTTTGAATTGCTTTCGGGTCTGTTCTATTTCCTGCCAAAATTACAATTTGGGCCTATTTGGAAATTTCCCACTCTCAAATTGTCCCTTGCCCCGTTTGATTTCCACAATTTGCGCCCCTCTGGCTGCAAAACTCCATCTTCAACAAAACAAGTCGGAGTTGTTTTGCTACAGTTTTCCTGTCACATTTGTTGGGGTGGGCTTTCAAGGTAAGAAAGAGGTGTCAACTACCCTGCTGCATCTCTATCTACAAGATGCGGAACTCCTGGTGCATCTCTTTCTCTCTCTGTCAGTGTAAAAGCTGGGATACAAGTGTTGGGCTATGTTAAATTAAAATGTGATTTCCTTTTCTTTATTATTTCTAACTTGTTTGTTCTGATTGTTCTTTACAATAAAGCTCTCGTTACTTCTTTTGCTTTCTTACATGTAATTATTCAATGTTTTACATGCATTGGGGTGTCAACCTTCATACTTGACAAGTATTTAGAATTGACTTTATATATAGAAACTAACTGGTCTTGAGATATAAAAGATGCATATTTGTTTGTCTCCATTTATCTGGCATTTGGTTCGAAATGTGATGCCAAAGTTTGTAGCATGTCATGAAAACAATGTTGAATTTCTTCCCTTTCATCAAGGCAAGATATTTATTTCAACATGATTGAAGGTGATTTTCATACTTTTTGAGGCAAATCGTCCGTGGTATAAGTAAGAAACTTAAAACTTGAGATCCTTTACTTTATACTTGATTATCAGATATTATCCATGAATTGCAATTCACATGGTTCCTGTTTTTTACGGTTTGATACTTGAGACTTGGCAAGATGAGCTAGACTAACTTGTGTGCTGGTTAGAAATATATTCAGGGGGGCAAGAGTTGATGAAATAGCTGGAAGTGAGTGACATGGGTGAATAGATGAAATTACAGCAAGAAATTAATTAGGATACCAGTGGCCCTAAGCAGAATTTTGATCAGAGCTCATCATGCATGAGCTCTGATCAAAATTATGTGCTCAAGTATTCATAGATCTATTTGGCCTGCCGAATTTATGAGCTTTATATTCCATATAATAAGGCAAAAATAAATTTTCAGATTTTTAGGGTGTTGTAAAGGTTTGTGGCTTCAAATGGCATTTTCTGGTGGTGTTGAGGTTTAGTCTTAGTTTTTGATGTGAAGGCCTAGGGGTGACAACGTGTTGGGTTCTATTGGACCCGGACCTGGACCTAGACCTGAATAGTAGTTAGGTCCAGATTTTGGACCTGGATCTGACCTTTTGGGTCCAAAATTTGGACCCATACCCCGGACTTGAGGTCGGGCCTACCCGTCGGGTCTCGGGTGTAGTTGGGTCCATTGCCACTTATGATTGAGGGTTTTTTTTTTTGCTATTTTTTTTTTTACCATCATATACCCATATTATTGGCAACGTTTATAGTATTGCACAACATCTATGAATACCCACATGTACTTGCATTCTTTACCGTTTTATGTAATAATTGGAAATTCTTAAGAAACAAACATATTGGCAACATTATGAATACCCTCATATACCCGTATTATTCAGGTTGGGTTTGGCTAGACTTGGACCCGAATACTAAGTTTTGAACCTGGATCCGATCTTTTGGGTCTAAAATTTGGACCCATACTTGAATTTGAGGTCGGGTCTACCCATTGGGTCCCAGTTCTGGTCGGGTCCATTGCCATCCCTAAGTGAAGCTTTCCTTAGCTACCACTCCTCTTTTAGTTTTCAGTGAGCCACTTGAATGAAATATAAATCTTAGAAACAAGAAATTATGAAATTCCAATCATAAAAAAATCAAACTATTCTTGAATTAGTTTTTTTTTTCTTTTAAGGAACTTGTCCTAATCCATTTGAAAATGACTCTTTATATTTAATGAACTTTAAAAGCTCAAGTCAACTTACAAATGCTTGCCCCTTAAGGCCAAGACTGCTTCAAAGAGTGCACCATACACAGTGCAGACACTAACGTACAAGCAAATCCAAACTCACCCACACGTTTAAATTCGCCTTATAAATCTTCACCAACCAAAGAACCAATTAACAACATATCAGAGAGAGAGAGAACCAACATCTTTGCAAGAAGTCACCAAAGCCCAAATGGCTGACAAAACAGCCTCATCATCTAGCACCAAGAAGGGTTCAGGCTCGGCGCCTGGGGTCATGGATCGGACCATAGCAGGTGCGGTCAACATAACTAGGCTCCTACCCACCGGCACGGTCTTAGCCTTTCAACTTCTCTCTCCTCTTTTCACCAACAATGGTTATTGCCACCCCATCAACAAGTACTTTACTGGTGTCCTCCTCCTCTTTTGCAACTTCTCATGTGGCTTTGTTTGCTTCACTGATAGCTACACTGGCAAAGATGGCAACACTTACTATGGTGTTGCCACGCGAACCGGGCTTTGGACCTCAAGTTCGGATCCGGACTCGAGCTCATTAGACTTCTCAACTTATAAGGTTGTGCTTGGTGATTGGGTCCATGCGGGGTTTTCAATCCTTGTGTTTGCTGTCGTGGCCTTGCTAGATCCCAACACTGTGAATTGCTATTATCCTTCGATGGGGACGGACCAAAAGGCGCTCCTGATGGGCTTGCCCCCTGCTGTCGGGTTTCTATCATCAATTGTTTTTGCTTTGTTTCCGAACCGTCGCCATGGCGTTGGCTATCCGGCGCAAAGCTCCACCACCTCTCAGTGATCTCTCTCTCTTATCCTATGTTTTTATTCCGAAACAGAGAGAATATTCTTGAATATTGCTCTCTCTATTATACGATGTTACTATGAGAACGAGAGAGAATAGTATTATATATTGCTAATTAATTATTTTGTGTGAAAATGATCAAACCAACAAGAGTTATTGTTAGTTTTCTTTTATAACAAAAATACCTTAAATTAATGAAGGTTAATTTATTCTATGCAATGTTAAAAAAATCGACTCGACGATTTACTCAGTTGAGTTCGAGTAACTCGTCCGAGTCCATCTCGTTTTTTTTTTAAGAAATGAAGAAAATAGCTTGAGTCCATCTCATTTTTTTTTTTTAAAGAAATGAAGAAAATAATGGTTATATATATAACCGACTTGACGATTTACTCAGTCGAGTCCTAGTAACTCGCCCGAGTCTATCTTTTTTTTTAATAAAGTAAATGAAAGAAATAGACTCGAG